TCTGTTACGAAACCATTCCGTCGAAATTTGTAACCGTTAGATCAACTATCTCTCACAGTTACATGATGATCTAACGGTTACAAACCCGATGAATGGTCCCGTAACAGGAGCGCAACATTTCTTTGTATTTTAATTAGTGAGTAAGGAGCCGTTTAAAATAAATTTATTAATCCAATAAACTAAATTCAAGCTATAAAAAGTATTTTTTTTATAGAGGATTGTAATTTTTTTTTCTTTTTCTACATATTAAAATGTTAATTATTAATAAACACTTTGCATAATTAGCTAATCTAATATTAATTCAACCAGCTGTTCACTATGAGCTTAATTAATCCAATCAATTACATATAATTAGCTAATCTAATATTAATTAGGGTTTTTGTATTAATTTGAACCTTTTTTGTATGCATATGCTTGTGGCTTCTCCCTATCAATATAAAATTTTTCAGATTTTCCAACCCAGCCCCACTAGTCCAAGTTAATTACATTTCTGTCAAAAATTGAATATGTACATAAATGGGAGAACGATTGCACATTTAATAAATGGTGGTCACATGAAATTCCCAGTTTTGATTGTCCTGAAATGTAATTTTGAGGTAAAAGAGAACAACTCAAACTTCTATAAAATTATTACAATAATACAAATTTTTGTATGAAACGTCCTAAATACGATAATTAAATTATGATACTTCAACAATTTGAAAATATACATATGTGTATTGAGAAAAATATGTATTATATTGAAAAAAATATGATGGCAGTCCACAACAATCTTACTAGTTCATCATATTAGTAATTATTTTATTTGTCCTTCATATTAATTAGTATTGTCATGTGCCATTGTTATAATTATTGACAAACTTAGAATAGAGTCCACAAAAAAAAAGATGCAATAAATGTAAAACATGTGACTTATTCTATAAATACACAGTGAACTTTTTTTATAAAATCATGATTTTGATGCCTAGAGGCCCCAGAACAACAAATCAGTTAATTTAAAGGGATTAAAATTTCATGAGAGATAATTTTCTTTGTAGCTTTCAATTAATCTTGAAATCATATTATACTACAGAGATAGTTTATTTATTGAACCCCAATCGCGTATTTGTAAGTCGAGCTCGATTGAACTCGAATTTGACTGACTTAATTTGACTAATGTTTCATTGAGAAGCTCGAACTTAATTAACTTGTTGGTTTTTTAGATCGAGTTATTCAAATAATTGTATATTAAATGAGCCGAACTTTGACTGTTCGATTCACGTTCAACTCTTACATTTTCTAGCTTAAATTTTAAGATCATTATGTCAAATAATTTCGAACATAAATATTACAATTAGCTTTCGGGTTCGACTCTAGACCATTGCCAGAAGGCCAAATGGTACGTCCACATGTCGACTAACATGCACTCGTACGGGTATATTGTTCTTTATATTATCCCACTACGCTTTGTAAGCTGTCTGTCGGTCGTTCGAACACTAGTTTTGATATAATAAATTTACTTTTACCAATAAAAAAAAAAAAAATGTATCTAGCTATATCAATCTACCCACCTAATGAATTAATGAAGGGACTGACCCATTTGCTTTTGGTTGTTGAATAAAATCAGTAACACACACACACACACATTGAGAAGATGGGGCTTTGTACCCTCCCAACAAAACAAGATTACTGACTTCACACACCCACCAAATTTTAATTACCTATGAAACAAAAATCTTCTTTTTT